AACAAAGAAAGGAAACAAAGAAAGGAAACAAAGAAAGGAAACAAAGAAAGGAAACAAAGAAAGGAAACAAAGAAAGGAAACAAAGAAAGGAAACAAAGAAAGGAAACAAAGAAAGGAAACAAAGAAAGGAAACAAAGAAAGGAAACAAAGAAAGGAAACAAAGAAAGGAAACAAAGAAAGGAAACAAAGAAAGGAAACAAAGAAAGGAAACAAAGAAAGGAAACAAAGAAAGGAAACAAAGAAAGGAAACAAAGAAAGGAAACAAAGAAAGGAAACAAAGAAAGGAAACAAAGAAAGGAAACAAAGAAAGGAAACAAAGAAAGGAAACAAAGAAAGGAAACAAAGAAAGGAAACAAAGAAAGGAAACAAAGAAAGGAAACAAAGAAAGGAAGCAAAGAACGGAAACAAAGAAAGGAAAAAAAGAAAGGAAACAAAGAAAAAAAGGAAACAAAGAAAGGAAACAAAAAAGGAAACGAAGACAGGAATCAAAGAAACTGAAATGATTTGACTTCAGAATTCTATTGTTATCACTTTACAGAAAAACGATAGTTTTGTCCAAGTGATTAAATACTATAGTGGACCACGACATATATATATATATATATTAATTGGTCTGTACGGAGGGCCAAAGTGAATAAATACTTATTTATTCACTTTGACGGAGGGCACAGTACAATAGAAACTGGACTCCCTTTGTTTACAAACACAGACTTAGAATTTGTATTTATATGAATTAATGTAAATTAAGATTTCAGAAGTGAATTTTAGCCATTTTACTCCACAATAAATAATTTCAGACAGCACAATAATGCATGAATGCATAATCTGCAAAACAAGGAATGCACAGTTTGTGATACTGAAAAATGAAGATCTTCGAAATATATCTCTTCCTCTTGGTCTTCACTTTTGAATTTTGACAGATTTAAGAGTTGTTGAGAACTAAGACATGCAGGGTGTTGCACGAAACATCACATTTAATAAATCGTTATTATTGGTCAAAAAAATCTTTTGCTTCATTATCTTTTACTTTGAAATCAATTTTAATATAACATGACTCCCATATAATATTTTCATTTCTCTTTGGTATCAAACAACTTAACAAAGACATTCTAAATTATTCACCAACTGTCATGTTTCGTGGGACACCCTGTAGGAAAAGATATTAAGAGAGGCGTATTCCGGGGTTTTTCCCAGGAAGGGCTTATATTTCTTTTTCTTTTTAGGAGGGGGGGGGGGGCAAAATTAGAAGTGCCAGGCAAAATCAATGCATTTATTAAGCGACTTTATAGTATATACAAATAAACTAGGTACAAATATACAAAAATTTTCGATTTTTAAATATAAAAATTTCGAAGTTCTAACTGAAGACAACATTTGCATGGGTCTTTAGTCTATTTTTTCTAGTCTTTACTTCCCAAAAGATATCTTTTCAATTATTTCAATTATTTGTCGTCGTTACCTCAGTCTTTTCCACTCAAAGATAATATATTTATATTCATATTGTTTATGCGTGATAACACCAAATGTGTACAATAGTATCAACAATGTATACTGCATATTGTACGTAATGAAACAAGTTAATCAATTGAAATAAAACTGAGGTAGGAACTGGACAAGACAAAGTTAAAATGTGCAAGTTGTACTGAATGGCATATATACGTAAATTAATATTAAAGTATTTATAGTTACATCTCAATTTCAAAGTTCTTAACTATAAGAAAAAAGCAATTTAACGATTTTTTTTGGGTTCATTTAAAGGGAGCGTTCACTTATTTGGGTAATTTGAGGGTAAACTAAATAGCCTATTAGCTATTCATTGGTAATAGTTGCAATTTTTTTTCGTCTTGTTTACTAGAATTCATGCAAAAACAGTAATTTTAATAATGCTGTAGGATAAATGATGATTCCCCCGCTCTGTAGAATAAATGATCTTTAGGATAAATGATCTGTAGAATAAATGATCTGTAGGATAAATGATCTGTAGGATAAATGATCTGTAGGATAAATGATGTTTCCACCGCTCTGTAGAATAAATGATCTGTAGGATAAATGATCTGTAGGATAAATGATGTTTCCCCCGCTCTGTAGAATAAATGATCTGTGGGATAAATGATCTTTAGGATAAATGATCTGTAGAATAAATGATCTGTAGGATAAATGATCTGTAGGATAAATGATCTGTAGGATAAATGATGTTTCCCCCGCTCTGTAGAATAAATGATCTGTAGGATAAATGATGTTTCCCCCGCTCTGTAGGATGAATGATCTGTAGGATAAATGATCTGTAGGATAAATGATGTTTCTCCCGCTCTGTAGCTAGAATAAATGATCTGTAGGATGAATGATCTGTAGGATAAATGATGTTTCCCCCGCTCTGTAGGATAAATGATCTGTAGGATAAATGATCTGTAGGATAAATGATCTTCAGGATAAATGATCTGTAGGATAAATGATGTTTCCCCCGCTCTGTAGGATAAATGATCTGTAGGATAAATGATGTTTCCCCCGCTCTGTAGAATAAATGCGTTGGACAAATGTTTTGCAGAACAAAGATTGAACGACAAAAGACATAGCGCCGTCCATGTTGCTTTCTAAAAGAAACGATTTATTGTAAAAACGATCTTTTAGTAATTTTCAAAGCAGAAAACCATTGAAAACGAAAGTTTTGAAAAAACCTAAAACCATTTTCAAATTTAAAACAAAAATTAGTTTTCCATTTCAAAACGAAAAACTAAAAAAAAGTTTTACTTTTTAACACGAAAAACTGAAAAAATCATTTTCGTTTAAAAATGAAAATCAAAAAAATCCTTTTCCGATTCAAAAAAAGGATCTGAATATAATTTATTTCCGCTTCAAATTTAAAAGCTCAAAAGGTTTTTGTTTCAATACGAAAATCAAACGTTTTTCATTTTGAGATTTAAAATGGGATATATTCCTTCAGAAATTTTTCTTAAATTAAAAGCAAAGAAAGAAACAATTTAACAGCTGCAGGAAATAGACAGTATACATTTTCTACAGTCCTCTCAGAAGTCTCATCATTTGGGGGGAGGGACCGTTCACTTTTTTGGGTAATTTGAGGGTAGAATAATTAGCCTATTAACTATTCACTTGTATTAGTCTTACTTTTCAAGGACAACTGTGGCCGGAGAAAAGGCCGATTTGTCATTCAGAATTCCAGCGCAAAGGTATGATATATTTTTGTATTTACACTATTTGACGCTTTTTGTCATAGTCATGAATTTTTTTAAATGTTCAAAAATTTAATTAATTGTAGTATCTAATAGTCAAATGTAGATATCTTACATTTTTAAAAAAATAACTTATTTTTATAACTTATTTTTCAAAATATTTTAACTTATTTTAAACATTTGACGGTTCGGTACGTTTTCCCTACTTACCCAAGAATCCCCGTGATTTATTGAAGAGTTGGAATTAGGAACCAGTTTGTCTCAGAGAGAAAGTCGTCTTGTATTTTTGCATGTTTATTTGTCAAATTATTTGAACACAAAAAACGTTAACTGCTTGCTAATTCTAAAATCAAAAGTTTTTATATTCTATTATTTTCTTCCGTTTTGGTTTTTAGCCAATTGTTTGGAACAAATTTCAAAACGAGTTAAAAAAAACGAAACCGGCCATTTCTATTAACAACCCTAATTGTTGCACATCTTTAAAATTAGATTTTTACATTTGAAGAAAGAATGACTTGAGGTAATATTTTCTTAATATTTCATTATACCTTCAATAAACTTTTCTCATAGCAAGTTTATGCCATAAAAAAAATATTTAGTTATTTTTAACTCAGTAACTGAACATCCATAATTTGGTCTTATAAAGCATTAGACATTAATTGAAAAAAAATCATTTGCTATTTCTAACTCAGTTACAAAACATCCCTTGTTCAATTAAAAAATATTGTTAGACTTTAAATGACTAATATATTCAGAATAGCATATGATTGATATTCAAGCCAGTCTATTAAATTATATTTTTACCAAATTTTTCATATCATCAAAACATCAACATAAACCTAAAACTCTTAAACATTTGTAAGAAGTTCCACTTTCTACTTGAGAACGCTACAGGGTTTCCATTGTTTTTCCTACGAACAGCATAGAAAATACGAAATTTAAGCAAAACAATTTAATTGGGTAAAAGGTTAAAGTAGATTATTCAGAGTTAAGCTAAGCTTTTCATCAATATCTAAAAAGTAAAAATCTCTGTTTGTCTGTTTGCTTGTTTTTATGTCCGATCATAATTCATGAACCTCTTGACCGATTTGCCTCAAATCTACTATTTTACATGATTGTCATCTTTTATCTCAGTTTGATTTAAAGGTCTCACATTCATAAACAAAAATCTTTGATAATTTTGCCAATTACTTGTTAAAAACCTAACTTAACAACAAGTGTTTACAACGCTAAGATGGATGTAAAAGGCTACAGATAAGTCTAAATGAGTTAGAGCGGTAAGATCAAAGCTTAAGGCGTTGCGACACTTTAAAAGTCGACCCTGTCTTGTGAATGAAAGAAACTTTTAAGGGTTATCTGTTTGGTTAAAAAATTAAACTTACATAGCTTCAATACAAAGTATGACTTTATTTGATGAAATATTTGTCTCTTAATCTAATAGATATCATTACGACCCATGATTTCCCCAAGTAACTTTATGTCCTTTGTATCAATTTAGTAAAATAACGACCCGCTCTGCGATGTTTTCATAAAAAACGTGCATTAAATCTCAAACGACAATAAAATTGTGTACAATTACATTTTCGGAAAATTAAAAGTTTTACTTGATGAGAATGTTCATAAGCCGGCATAAACTGTACGTGTACATCTACACTGTAAATATAAATATGATATACTGTACAAAGAAAGAAACTTCCATTGATGATTTCCAGCACATTTATTGTCTGATTAACAATTAAAAGTCCATCAACTCTTCATTAAATATTTACAAAGCTGGACACTAAAGTATGCTACGCAGTTGGGGAACGGAGACCCAAACAGAAGGTTTATTTTACATGTTTAACATCAAAATACATGAACAATGAAATTCAGAACAGTTTTAGAATGATGTATGCTGTATAGATCTATTCTTTAGGTATGTACATTGTACAATGTACATATGACTTATAAATTAATTTTCTTGTAATGTACAATGTATTATCAAGTTGAAACTAGAACTCAATTCTGAGAAAGGATGGAGGGCATCTTTGCTAAAAGGTGAATTTCATAAATAAATTTAATACATTTTACTTGTGCTCGTCAAAAATATGTTTGTTCAGCACATGGCGGCAATTATATTTCTAGACATTTGAAAAATTAATTTTCATGAAAAAGGGCTATTTTTAGGGCTGGGCAAAGTTCCCTTAACAAAACAGAAGGTTTTGAAAATTAATGAAAGGTCAATTAACTAACAGCTAAAAACCAATAACATAAATAGTCGTTTTGAAGAACTTGAACTGTTGAAAAAAACCAAAATGGATTTGTTTAAAATTAAATTTTTCTGCTTAAAATTGCATGATACATTAAGAAAATAAAAGATCATTTATTGTGTATTTTGGTGTTTTAATATTTTATCTCTCTCACTTAATTGTTGAACTGTTGAATTTTATGCATTTAGATGTTTTTTTTATGCTTTTTTAAAATGTTTCAGTTATTTTGACATAAAATAATTGTAATGGTTCTAACGAGCCGTTAATGGCTGGCACCGTAAACGATTTTGAAATCTCTGCCGTTAATAATATTCAGATTCTTAACAAACAGTAACTTAAAAAGGGAAAATAAAATGTAATAATAAAAGAAATCAAATGTAATAAATAAGAAGTGAAAATTTATGTGAATGCCAACTTTTCACAGTTAATAATAATTTTTCAGAAATATAAAATTATAAATTGGGCTATTTTTGTTGTTCTCAGAGCATATTTGATAAATTAATTCACATTTAAATACTTAGTTTTAATTTATTTTTTGTTATACAGAATTGTTCAGAAAAAAATGGTTTTCTTTTTTTACTAGTTTTCATGAACACTTTATTTAAAAATTTATTTAAAAATCAAACTATGCAAAAAAGAGTTAAAATAACTTTCAAACTATAAGCGTTTGAACAAAATTTTCAATCCAAAAGTTTGTTTGATCCAGAATTTTGACCCTGGGAGTTATGATCTGCATCTTAACAACAGCATTATCACAGACTCTTTTCATCAGGGATGATAATTACTTATGAATTTAAACACAGCATTTTATTTCTTTATTTTATGCAATCTTTATCAATTTAAGAAGAAGTTCACAAAAAATGCCATACATAGATTTTAAATTAAATTAAAGTGACTGTATGTGACAAAGTCAACCAAAGCTAAAACTTTTTTTTAATGTCTTAACTATTTTTTGTCATCAGTACCAAGAATATATCAGAATCATCCTTCTACGCTCACCTAACTAAAAGTAGTAAAGTTCAATCCATAAAAAAATGTGGGATTCAGTGCAGTCACTTGGAACATATTCATGGATCTTTTTGTAATGCGTTCAGGTATATTTATCTAAATAGATAGTAGTTGATGAGAGAGCCTCAATTTCATATTGATTAACACTTTTTTGAACATTCACACCAAAAACTTGTATCATGATCAAAGCACATTTAATGTATGAAAAGTCCGGTAAAACATTACAGTTTATTCAGAATAATTAAGTTTTCAACTAATTTGCATTTTTGGACATTACAACTAAAAGCTTAAATGGAATTAAGTTTTTGCCACAAACTTAAATTTTCTAATCCCTATATCTTTGGACCCCAATGCCATAAACCTTTGATTTTTCAAACTTATATTATTTGAACTAATAGAAATCATAGTTTGAAATATCTAAGGTCTACGACATTAGACATTAGAAAATCAGAGTTTGTTGCAAAAACTCAACTCCTTTTCATTTAATATTATTTGATACAACCATTCTTTTTACTAATAAGACTCCGTTGAGTCAAATCTTAACCAAACATATTCTGAACTTGCTTAGGTATTCCTAGCCCATGTGCACCTTTGAGAGCATAATTAACCTAATTTTATGAACATTTTTAATAAAGTATTTTTTGAAGAGATTCTTAAATATGCGTTCATAAAACGCAGAAGCTCGCTAAATATTTTACCTTAAGAACTGTTTGATTAGAGTAAAAAAAATGAGTCTTCAGAGATCTGAGGAAATCTCTCATTTTTTAAATTTTGTTTCTTGAAAAAATTTTCTCAAGATTTTGCATTGTTGGTTTTGTGCAAAATTTTCTCATTTTTGGTTTATCAACTGCAACCTCTATTCAAAACTCATGTGCACCTGTTTTCATTTACTGCAACCTCTATTCATATCTCATGTGCACCTGTCTTCATTCACTGGAACCTCTATTCATAACTCATGTGTACCAGTTTTCATTCACTGGAAACTCTATTCATAACTCATGTGTACCTGTTTTCATTCACTGGAAACTCTATTCATATCTCATGTGAACCTGTTTTCATTCATTAGAAACTCTATTCAAATCTAATGTGCACCTGTTTTTATTCACTGGAAACTCCATTCACATCTCATGTGCACCTGTTTTTATTCACTGGAAACTCCATTCATATCTTATGTGAACCTGTTTTCATTCAATGGAAACTCCATTCATATCTCATGTGTTCCAGTTTTTATTCACTGGAAACCCCATTCTTATCTCAAGTGCACCTGTTTTCATTCACTGAAAAATCTATTCATAACTCATGTGCACCTGTTTTCATTCACTGGAAACTCTATTCATAACTTGTGTGCACCTGTTTTTATTCACTGGAAACTACATTCATATCGCAAGTGCACCTGTTTTCATTCACTGAAAAATCTATTCATGACTCATGTGCACCTGTTTTCATTCACTGGAACCATTAAAGGGAGTGACCGACAATGTATGGTAGTTGAACTGAGAATGTAGTATTGTGGAGAAATCTTTTAGGATTCATTTGAGACATANGGTTATGAAGATTTTGCTGAGCACAGTGGATGTATTGACATAGATGAGTGTAGAGTTGGAACTAATAACTGTGGTGCAAACTCTAACTGCTGGAATTTCCCAGGAACATTTGTATGTACTTGCAAGGTTGGTTTTACTGGAGACCCTGTAGCAGGGTGTACTGATATTGATGAATGTATTAATCCTAATTGGCATAACTGTAACAACTACCCAGGATATAATGCTGAAACAATTGGAAATAACGGGATAAAATACTTTTACGTCAGCTTGTCAGATATTGGAGATGAGCAGCACCATACTTTCAGATTTGAGGTTGCTATTGAAAATAAAGCTCTATTTTATGTTGCAAATGCAAATTTATCCATTTCTTACATGATAACTTTACGGGCCTTGGCCACAGAGATTAGCAGATGTGAGACTATTAACTGTGTGATCTTGTTCAGCTCTACCTCAATTGCATCCCTATCCAATAGCAAATTTAACCTTTTTTTCATGGATTTGTTTTATGATAAAAAATCAGGAGACACAATAATCAAAGTTTTAGACAACAGCAAAAATACTTTGTGTGTTGCAAAGTATAAAGAACCGAAACCACTGGTCATAAGCAAAGTAGGAGTTAAAAACAATGGAGAAGGTCTAGTAGGGTACTGGAGAAATATGAGAAAGAATTCTATTCAACAAAAGTGTGTAAACACAATTGGGAGTTTTTTCTGTACAGATAATTCAGATGAAATGATTGCCATTGGGTTTGGAGGTCATACAACAAGTGGATCTGTTTATCCAAACCAAATAACTGTTTTTACTAATCAGCGATATACCTGTGTTAACCACAAAATTGGGGATATTCAAGGAAGATATAGTCCAGGAATGGCTGAGCTAGATGGTTGGCTTTATATTTGTGGAGGACACTACTATAATGCTAAAGATCCACTAATTGACTGTAAAAAATTTGATTTAAATGCTGATAATGGAGTCTGGACCAATGCACCAAACTTACCTAGAAAGAGGAGACATTTTGAAATGCTAACTTATCAAACTTCAATTTACATCCTTGGGGGACATGATTACTGGAATGGGGGTTCAGGATGCATAAACACATTGCATGAGTTTAATCATCAAACAAATATATGGACATCTAGAGCAAACCTACCATATCCAAATCATCGTCATTGTTCAGTTGCTGATGTTGAAGAGGATAGAATATGGATGATTGGTGGACATCAATGTAACGTTGGTGATAAAATGCAAGTATACTATTATACAGTCTCTAAGAATGTTTGGGTATTTCATAGCAATCTTATTGGTAATCAAGCTGTGATTGATCCCAGTTGTGGAATCATTATCAAGACCACTGGGGAGAAATGGTTGCTTGTTGTTAAAGGAGGAAGAACAGAAGCAGTGATATATTATGATCTCTCAAACAATAGTGGATGGAAGCAAGCAAGCAATTTGTATGGTAATGGACGTCAAAATTTTATGCGAATGATAACTTTAACCCAGTATAGTGCATTCTTGATGGGTTCATCAACTACAAGATATGGAAACAGTTTAAAGAATATATTTGAATTCAACCAAGAGACAAACAATTTTGAAGATAAATACTTATACCTTCAAAATGAAATGAATGCTGGTTATTGGACAACTGTTAAGAAATCCAACAACTTCAAAGCTCTGCAAGACTGTGTTTCACTAAGAGAATATGCTGCTGTATGCTGGGGAGGTCACACAACATCTGGTTCAGATTACCCAGACACCTGGAGTGTTCTCCTCAGGGATAGGTTAAGGAAAGGAGATCCTCATCTTCCTGCAACTTGTCACAACAAGATTCCACCTTTCTCTCCTGGTAGATTTGCAACTGGTGTTACAGCTGTGGATTACAGGTTAATGATTTGTGGTGGTCTTAACTATGGAGGTCCATATTTGAGCAGTTGCTATTTTCTGGATACTAATGAAAATTCTCCTGCATGGAGTACAATGGCAAGCATGCCTATAACACGGGGTTATTATGAGTTCACTACCTATGGTGATGCTGCATATGCAATTGCAGGTCATAATGGTGGAGACCTTACTCAAGTAGACAGATGGACAGAATCTAAGGGATGGGTTACTGTTGCTTCTTATCCTGTACCAGTACACAGACATTGTGCTGTGTCTGACCCAGGATATGACAGGATATATTCCATGGCAGGAAATTCACGCTCTAATGCTTATTTTTATACAATTTCTTCTAACAAATGGTCATCAATGCCTTCTCTATACTGGTCAGGGAATAACATGGCCTGCGTTATAATCAGACGAAGAGGAACTGGAAATAAGATTATTGTTCTAGTTGGTGACAATCAATCTAGACAACAGTATTTTGATCTCTCTGTTTATGAAGCAAATGGAAGTGGGGGATGGATGACTTTTACAACTCCCCAATACACCTCATCTTACTCTACTATCATATCACTTACACCATATGAAAGTTTTGAGGTATATTTATATTTGAATGTACTTTCTAGAATATGATTAGAAAATATTTACATTTATTCTTTTATTCATTAGATGGGGGGACACAGTAACAGATACTCATTTTCAACAAGAAACTTGTATATGTGGAATCCAATAAATGAGCGCCATGAAGATATTGGTCTAAACCTTGTCCATCCTCACCATAATGGAGATTGCACAGTTATGCCTGCAGATGCTAAAGTTCTGAGAGGATGCATTCTCGGATAGAAGAGAAACATGTTTATTCTACACTTTCATGGAAGCTTATAAGTTCTAAAACCAATGATCTAATAGCAATTAATCTTCTTTTATGACTTGGCCAAGGTTGCTAAAATTTTTATGTTTTCATTTAAAAAACATAAAAAGTTGCTTTGAAATGAGAACATCTTTCTTTTGATTATTGAAAAATGCTATACAACAAAGATGCAGCTTTTTTAAATTAAAGTCTGAAGTTTTTTGACAAACAAAACTAAAATATTATTACCACCAATCTTTAAAACATTCAATTCAAAAATTATCTGTGTTGGTCTTGATTTTGATTTAATTGAGATAAAACTTTTTGATTTTATTGTGACAAGGAGTAAAAGTCAGCTTATCAAAATTTTCTAGTGTCAAACAAGAAAATGAAATGAAATGGCTCACTCTCTGCTTGCACAATGCGCTCGTGGCATGCAATGCATGCAATATCACTACAATATATTTTGAATTGTATTAAATACCTAATTCTTTTACCAGCACGGTCTTTAATGACCCATGAAATTATTTATAATCTTTTTAAAGGAATACTCATAATCAATCATGAATTATTAGCTTTATCATTACAACTTTATGAATTTTGTAGATGTGTTGTTTGTAAAATCATTGCAAAATATTTATATAACTTGTAGAAATTTATAAAAGTTTGGAATATAAAAATATTATTTAAGTAATATCATTTGTATTTTATGATGGTAAAAAGTAAATACTTGATCAGAAACAAACAGAAAAAAAACAAAATTAACTGAATGGACTTAACTTAGAAAGATCAGATACTTAATGGTCCGCTCTTTTAACAAATGTTTTGAAAAAATTCTGAACATTCCTAGCGCCATGGCCATGGTCTTATTCGTTGGATTTTTCAAAGTTACTAAAAGTTGACTCACTATTTCACTTTAGTTTAATTTGTTTATGATCGTCTTTTCTTTCCAATATTATTAATATTTTCTGCAAGACTTAGAATAAAATATATTTTTTATTTTCTTTGTAGCTGTGGTTTGAGCACTAATATTTCTTGTTTTAACAATTATCATTATTTGGTTTAAATTTTTTATATGAATCTAATAAAAATGTCTAATAAAAGAAGTTTAAATAATAATAGAAAAAAACCCTTTTAAACTTTATTTGTGAGATAAAGTTTTTTTTTAATAAAGGAATTGCTTGATTTTTTAGGGCAACGGAACCAGGTTAATTTGTTAATTTTTAGGGGTTATTAATTGAGTAACATATATGAAATACATAAAAGATTTATTTTTAATATTTTGTTGCTGAATTTCAACTAATATATTTGTTGCAATTTAAACCCCAACAACCATTTATTAAAAATTAACTGAGCAGTCGTTAACATTAAGGCATACCCAAACCAAACCAAAAGGTCGGTTATTAGTTAAAAACAAAGGCTGTTAGTTTCATGTGATTTATCTAGCTGTTAACAATCAGTTCCTTTGAGTTATCTAGCTGTTAACAAGTAGATTTTATATCTATTTATGTAATTGTAGTGGGTATTATTAAGTGTGAACAAGTTTTTGCCGGGATTTTTATTTTTTCTAGTTTATTTAACATAAAATTGAAAGTATTTTCACACCGAATGTAGTTAGGTGTTAAAATACTTTTATTTTGATTGAAAACAAACTAGAAAGATTACAAATCAAAGCAAAAACTTTTTCGCGGGCATGATACCCATTTCAATAACATATAATATAGTTTTATTCAGTTTTACTCAAATTATTTAAAAGCAGGTCGATAAAGTTACTTGTAGGGTGATTAAGTAACTTTATCACCCTACAATGAGAAAAATTAGGTATGAAATTGGAAATTTTAATAGCAGGGTGAAAAAGCTCCTTTTCACCCTGTTGTAGGGCGATAAAATCACTTAATCACCCTTCAACGGGAAATATTAGGTGTGATAAATTCCATCAAAATTTAATAAAAAAGTTCAAACATTCACACTGCACACTGCACACTGCACACTCCACACTGCACACTGCACACTGCACACTGCACACTGCACACTGCACACTGCACACTGCACACTGCACACTAATCAATGTCAATTCTCAAGCAATTACGCATTTTTATAAAAAATATGTTTTTTACTGAGTTAAAATAGAAACAAAATACAAAATAAAAAGTTACAGTTATTTTATAATTTAAAAATCATTATAGCATTGGTAAATCAAAAGATTTAATTTGTAAAGCGGGAAAATGGTTGTTAAAAATGTGGGAAATCAAATCAACTTTATATATTCTTATTTAATATAAATAATATAATAAATAAAATGAGAAACGTAAGACTTTAGAATTAATTAATTAACGGTCTAAGTTTAAAACCAATACATCTCAAAAATGCTCATAGACAAAACGCTACCTCATAAAACGCTACACCTACACTCATAAAACCCTACCAAATAAAATGCTAGTAAAGAAAAAAACGCTACTCCTATAATTTTTATATTTGCATGTTTATAAGTTATTTTTCACATTTTTGTTGAATTAACCAACTGCATTTTTAAATTAAGCATAAAAATATCTTAATTTACACATTTATCCATACAAATTTTTAAATTGTTAATCCCCTACAAATGTATATCCATAAAATCTAGAAATTTAAAATACAAAAAGAAATCTTACATTACAGTTGTTAGTGCAATTTACAATTCATTAGCTATAATTAAAAGTTAACACTTAATATTTTGATATTTTGATTGAGTAGCGTTTTATCGGCTATCGTTTTATGAGTGTAGCATTTTATGAGGTAGCGTTTTCTTTATATGTAGCTTTATATGAGTGTCGTGTTTTTGGAGTATGACCCTCAAAAACTGGTAAGTAGGTTTTGTCTCGTAAACGCGACAATGATTCAAATTCAGGATATGTTCCAAAATGGAAAACCTGACATTGTCTTGAAAACGGTCAAGGGTTTTAAGATAAAAGAACTCCTATTATAATATTAATTTCAGACAATAATTTTAAATTGGGAATTGTTGTCCTCGTCATGCTTAATAAAATGTTGGTTACAGTTTTTATTATCGACTTTTGCTCTGAATATGGGCCGGGATCCCAAAAACCCAGTCTTTTAATTTGTGCCCATTTATAACACTCAGTGATAGAAATGGGCCAAGTGTTAGTTTTGGAACTAATGTCCCCTGAATTGAATAGCTTACTTAAATAAAAGTATTACCACATTCATCTGATTACAGGGGCTATTCAAAATGTGGCCTGCCATGTTGGACATTCCAAATAGGCTGAAATTTTTAAGAGTTTTCAATGCATTGTTTCATTTCTGAAATTCATCATATTTTTGAAAGTTTCTGCATTATTTTTTTGCGGTTTTCTGCATCTTTTTTTGCAACAGGGGCAAGTAGGAAAAATTCCTGAAACAACAGTTCAAAGGGTACAATTGTAAATCTTTAACTGATGGGTAGAGAGTTGTTTTATATTTTCTTTTAAAACAATTAATTTTTTGCCTGTAAATTGATATTAATTTTCAAGCTCGTGCTAAACTAGGAAAGGCACACCAGTGCACCACACCCTTTTTTCGTCCGCACCACAAATGACGTCACAACTCAACATCGTTTCTTCTGAGCACACCTTTTTTTGTCCAGGCGTTGCTTCTGTGCTTTCAAATGTATTTTCTATGATCTTATAACACTTTTTTCAAATTTAGGAAATGTCGGGTTATTCAATTAGATTTGATGTCCAGGGGTCCAGAGATTTTTGTATTTCTAGGGGTCCAGAGTTTTTTTTATTTTTAGGATTTTTAATTTTAGCTTTAATTGTTAACAAGCTTTTTTCGACTGACAAGTTTACAAGTAATAAAAAAGAAGGTTTTTTAATTGATAGCTTCTTTTTTCCATTTTTTTGTGAATCCATGCTTAATATAAATCAAAATTAATATCGAAAGTCGTCTTCATTATATTGAAAAAATCGCATATCACAGTACAATAACTGTACCGTCCTTTAAAAACGGCCCATCCAGAAGACTTAACTCAAACTTTGAACCGTCATATTTGAAGATTTTTAAGTCGTCTTTACAGTCTCCCCCTTTGCGGGTAACCCTGAAATCTACAAAGGCGAGACCCTTCGGATAACATTTATGTCACTGGCAGTGACATTTCGCTCGAAAGTGTTGTCACCTGCCATAAACTGTAATAAATTGTTGTAATTAATAATTGTCCATCTTACATTGTTTATTGTTTGTGGCCAAATATATAATTTTATTTCTTTTGATAGTCAGCAACTCTATGGTACAAATGCATTCCTAAAACCCGATACAATGCGAGTTGTTAGTTTTTTTTTCAACATTTGTTTGGATAATTTGAATTTACGTCTAGTGTTCAGTTTCTTTAGGTTATAGCAGTTTCTTTAGGTTATAGCAGTTTCTTTGATAACTTTACCTGGTATTTCCCAAAAGAAAACCCGTAATCTGGGGGATTCTTTTTAAGATTATAATTATTTTCAGTTCTACTTTGTAGGGAAGTTAAAGGAATTTTACTTTACCATGGGTTCTCAAGAACTTTGCCTACAAAACATTCAAAGTGAAGCTAAAGATTTTTTGTTGGCAAAATTGGTCGAGGAAACCCATGGTTAAGTAAAATCTTTAATTTTCCGGAAAAGTAATTGTACACAATTTTATTGTCATTTAAGATGAAAATGCGCGATTTTTATGAAAACTTCGAAGAGTGGGTCGTTTTTTTACTTAATTGTTACAAAGGACATAAAGTTACTTAACGTTCTTCTGTTGCGGAAATCATGGGTCGTAATGTTGGTCAAAATTTGGTAAAAATCTTTTTATCTAACCCAGCTGGTTAATTAGAATATTGTATGAGATTAAGTGACACATATTTTATCCCTTTGTATCGAAGCTCTGTAAGTTAAATTTTTTTTAACAAAACATATAACCCTTAAAAAGTTTCATTCATTCTTAAGACAGGGTCGACTTTGAAGTGTCGCAACGCCTTAAGCTTTGATCTTACCACTCACATTCACTTAGGCTTTTCTTTAGCCCTTTAAATTTTAACACTATAAAGCACTTGTTTTTAAGCTTTGGTTTTTTAAGAAGTAATTGGCAAAATTTTCATCTATTTTTGCTTGAGAGCTTGCAACCTTTAAATCAAAGTGCAAACTTTCCTCAATGGTACTGTTGTAAATCTGACATAACCCCATCTTAGGGTCACATGACATACCCCTCATCTTAGGGTCACATGAAATACCCCTCATCTTAGGGTCTCATGACATACCCCTCATCTTAGGGTCACATGACATACCCCTCATCTTAGGGTCGCATGAAATAACGGTGACAAAAATTCAAAAAAAATCATACACTATTTTAATCAAACTTAACAGTGGAAACAAAGTATGAAGATACTTATGTTAAAAAAATTGAAGAAATATATATTTTGTGCAACCACTGCGAACTAACCAAAGGAGAATGTCAATTTCAATTGACATTACTGTCACAGCTTTGTGACTCCATTGCTCCTCTAGCTCTGATTTTACGCACAAGTGTAAGAAAAATTAATTTATTCGGTTGGTTACATATTATAAATTCAAAACATTTTTGTTCTTTTCAATATCTCTTCAATAAGAGAAGTTATGCTAAAAACATATAAGTTATCAATCTTACTTGCATTTTACTTTAGTTTGACGTGCAACATTGTTCATTTCAATGTGGATCTGTAAGTCACGTCAGAAACGTGAACCTTAGTTTTATCATAATTACGCACACCAAACAAATTATTATAAACGCGCGCACTTAACTCTACATAGTTTTAGCATGGGAAAAGTTTTGACAATTTAGGGGTATTTATACTCACTCCCCCCCCCTTCTCACAACCAAATAAGTCTAAAATACAAATCCTAAATCTTGAATAGGAGATTTAAAGATTGGTCTGATTCCAAGATTTATTATATGTACAAGAAATCCCAAATATATCAAACAGAAACCCTAGCTTTAGATAGAAATATATATATTCGTATTTGGGATTGGAAACTTGACAGCTTTAAAAGATCTGATTACGTACAAACTACATTTTACAATTTATGAAATACAATGTACAATTTACAAATTAAAAATTACAATTTACAATTTATAAATTACAATTTACAATTTACAAATTACAAATTATAATTTACAAATTACAAATTACAAATTATAATTTACAAATTACAAATTACAAATTATAATTTACAATTTACAAATTTCAAATTTCAAATTACAAATTACAATTTACAATTTACAATTTACAGTTTACGATTAACAATTTACAAAGTACAAATTGCAAAATTACAAATAGGCATAGATACATAAATAGATTTATAGATAAATAGATAAAGATACATAAATAGATATAGATAAATAAATACTAAGAAATGAAACTTAACAAAAAATATTCTAGAAAATGCAACAGTTCAAAAATAAAAATCCTCCTAAATTTAAAAATGATTAAAAATATTTTAAAATGTTCTGTTTAGTCCCGAAAATTACAAATCAATTGAAAATTATTATGATTCATATTATGATGTGGGACACCCTGCTTATTTTTTACTCCTTCTGTTAATTGTTTAAATATTTGTTTACAAAACAAACATGTCTAGTTGTTTATAAAGGATTGGTTACTGATAGAACCAAGTGTATCTACTTTCCTGCTTTTACATAATATACATATATATATATATTTATACATACACATTCTGAGATAGTTACAAAAAATACAAAACCATACATGAAACGGTCCAGAAAGTCTATTATTATTGTAATTATATGTATAATATCTAAAATGAAAACAGAAGACAGTTTTCTGTAAAACTGTAAAAGATGTGTTAAATCTCAAGAAAAAAGATAAAGATTTCATTTTCCCCTCTACCCTAATCAAATCTATCTGTGAGAACTGAAAGCTGGCCTGAGCTTGAATTTCTATTGAAATTCTAAAAATCAAATCTGTCAATTAGCCAACCTGGAATGGAATTGATGTTCACAGGAGTAGAAAGAAGGGACAGAGAAAAAATAAGTTTAGAGTGAAATTAAGCCGAAAAAAGTGTAAAACCACAATTTTGTTGTATTGTTTCCGTACTGCAGGTGTACTTCACACATTTGTGTTATTTAACCTTTTGGGCCCTGGATCATCTTTTTAGAGAAAAACGTCTTGAAAATTATTTAATTTTCTCTAAATCAATATTCTGACAACCTTTCATGCTTTCCAGAATTCATTTTAGCATTAGCTTTATTTCAAATTCTCGAGTTCATTTCAGTATAAAAAAAGAAGAACTTGTAACGGATATGTCCAGGGATCATACTGTATTAGTGTGATGTACTGCGTATAATTTGTGAACATTTACTTGAATTTTTCACTTTGAACTCCTTTTCAGGCTTAGATTTATCTACACATGAAAGTCTTTTTAATCCTTTAAGTACACAGAATTCTTATATGACCTCTTTGATTTTTACAAGCTAATAATCCAGCTTTGCATGAAAACTTTCTTTCTGTTTGAAAGTCAACTCCCTCAATCAATTCAGAATTTTAAACCTGTATTGTGCCGTTTAAACAAACCCATTTCACTAAAGTAATGATTTAATAATCGTCTAGTAAAACTTTTGCTTTGTAACAACATTAAACACACTTTTTGTTATAATGTCGTCTTCCTATTTCATCGTTTTCTGGTTCACACTGTATGAACTAGGTTTTCTAAACCTCCGGTTCTTACAGATTCTGAAAATAGAGAATTTCCGCAACCAACAAGCAGATTTTTAGAAATCTCCTTGTGAGAAAAGTTTTGTTGGTGTTAAGTTTAGACTTGAGAAAAGCGTTTGACTCTGTGGTTTTCTGGAGATATTTAGGCAATCCAAAATGTTTTGAGCTTTTCAGCTGAAATATCATCATTTTATGATACATTTATCAATGTTGAATTAACAAATCAGAAGAAAACAACCATTACAGGGTATAAGCCTGAAATGCTAAATATTAAAGAACACATTTTAGTTTTCTCCACTATTCGTTTATACAGGCTGACATGTAAAAGGTTCAGATAGGATAAATTAATGTTTTAATCTTACTCTTCAATTAATTTATGGGGATTTTGTTTTCATAAAATATCCACCAATAAAAAAAAAAAAATATCACATAAAGTTTCGTTTAAAATGAGAAATAAAGGACGACTTTTTACTTAGAAGTCTTTTAAAGTTGAACACAAAAGGTTTGAGGCATGAATTATGGGAGGATTTTCAAAAGGCGGACTAAAGAAATACATTGGTGAAAAGTAGTACATGAAACGTCAACAGGGTAAATATATACTGGATTTATGGAAAAGACGATATTAGTTACTATCTTTGTCTACTCGAGAAAATACGTCGAATTTGCGCTTTCTTTAATTAGCAAAGTATTTGCATAAACTGTTGACACTTGTTAATTGTGACATAAGAATACAGCTGTACTCAAACTATAAAAATTCTACGTTACCATCTATTGTAATTGATAATCTATTTGGGGACATATTTCACACGCCCCTATCTCAACTCTAGGGGCAAAATCATAGGGCGTGGGGGGTGGAACTCCCCTCCACCCCCAATCTATATTAGACAAAAATTGCCTAATCGGGAAAAATTTGCAAATATGTAATGAGAAAATTCTCAATTTTCAGTTCTGGTCTAGTTTTTTAGAAAAAGTTGTTTTACAATGGCTCCTCAGTTTCCAACTAACAGCGTATATTTATAACTTTAGAATAAACCAAGAAGAAAGGAACAACAGGATATTTAAAGAACCTTTCCTTAAAAATTAGTCTAGAACTGAAAATTGCGAATTTTCTTATTACAATTTTGCAAATTTTCTGTGATTTTGTGATGCAATCTTTGTAAAATTCTAGAATTTTATAGAAATATTTTATAGAAGAATTTTATTGAATATTTATTCACACTCAATAATTTAAAATTTTGATTCATATACCATATCACAAATATATATCTATATGTGATTTTTGGTATAATTTTGACACAGTTTAATATCAATTTCTCGAGACTGGGACCTAAGATAAGAGGACAGTGCTGGGCTGGGCAAAGTTCCGTTAATGTAACGGAGGTTTTTGAAAACGAACGGAAGAGTCTATTTATAAAAGGCAACAACAGTTAATTTTTAAAGTGTTAACAAAACCGATTAGCCGTATTTGAAAAAATGTTAACGGTTGAAAACGAAAACAGAACTAATGGATTTGAAAACTTTCGTTTTTTCTGCTAAAATTGCATGAAACTTGAAAAAATATATTTTTCATGTATTTTTATTTTTTTGAATGTCATCTTCAGTCCCCCCTCCTTATTTATATGATGAAACTTTACAAGGTTTTTTTTTGCCTTTTAGTGCCGTGAATCCAATTTATTAAACCGGTAACTATTTTTTCATGGAAATTTTGGAGTTTTGACAAACTGCTAACGGCGGAATATCTTCCACCAACGCCATTAATAGAATTGAGATCGTTAACCAACTTAGAAAAATACTGTTATCGAAACAAACATTCCGTTCTTACCTTAAAGTTAGAAAAGTTAGAACATGCCTATCCCTAAATATACTCTACGCATAATATGAAATAGAATAATTGATTTTTCCCCGGCCCTGGGTTAAGTTCTTTGTTAAATTTGTGTATGGTTACGGGGTATAGTAACGTAAGAAAGGAAATTCCAATATTTGTATTATAGAGTTCATTCTGGTTTAAACCTCTACGAACAGTAGTGTAGAAATAGTTGTTCACAGCTTTTATTTAGGTTTGATTATTAAAAAAAATATTTACAATATTTAAAAATTTTTACAACATTTCAATATTTACAACATCAACACCCTAATTAGCTAGATATTACAACATATTACAGGCAAACATGAAAAAAGATATCCACCTACATTTGAATTCTAAAACTCTCAATATTGGCAATTAAAGCTTGTGGATTTATATATACCAAAAATTATTCATAATGAAACTAGTTTATGTTAAAAATCGGATTTAAAATGAATTAGAAGTCATTTCTTATGCAGGACTGCTTTGTAGTGCAAACTTTTTCCTTATGTGTAAGTTGATGATTTTTAAAATGTTCAGCTTAATATTTGTAAATTTACATGAAATTAGAGAAGTAACGCTGGAAAACTTTTTTAATCTACACCATTTATCAAATCGTGCATTAACAATCAATCGATCAAACAGATTTATTTCTAGGAGTTTTATCTAATTTCGCAAAACTGAATTCAAAAATGTTGAAAAATATTTTTCTCAAAGAACTGCGTAGTAAGATTTTGACTCCACTAGAGACCACCGGAGGGATTTCATTTTTACTTGAGGGATTTGAAAAAAGCTATTTACAAATTAAAACTTGACGCAGGGTGAATTACATTCCTCTGAAGGGATACAGATGTATATCCATGTGGTTCATAAACCATCAGGAATTTTAAACCCCTAGGAAGGAAAATGAAATCCCGCCGCGGTGGTCCCCAGTGACGTCAAAATTTTACAACGAAATATTTATATTTTTAGAATTATTTAGCGGCAAAATTAGCTCCCACAACCTGCCCCCGCCACCACCGGACTCAGCAATTTACAACAATATGTGGGAAAAAGGAGAATCAGGTCGGATCTTGGTCAGATCTTGGTCTGATCTTGGTCAGATCTTGGTCTGATCTTGGTCTGATCTAAGTCTGATCTTGGTCTGATCTTGGTCAGATCTTGGTCTGATCTTGGTCTGATCTTGGTCAGATAATAGCAAAAGACCATTTATCAATAGGCTGGTGTGTCTGATTCAAAATAGTTCTCTTTAAAACTTTGTCAAATCAATAATAAACAAGAAACGACGATTTCTTCCACATTATTAATAATATGAAGGTTTAAAGAACCCGTTGTGAATTAGGCATGCCCGTCTTTAAATGGAGAGTGTTACTTGAAATTGTAAATAAAGTTTGAATTATATAATTTTGTTCAATATTAAATCCATTGTACAGGTCTGCAACATATTTACGTTTATTATTTTTTTATATCATGCTGTTCTCTTTAGTTTTTAAAGATTCAGAATTTAGATATGGAAAAGTAAGATATCATTTAAACATTTTTTTCATTATCTTTTTGATAATAAAGATATTTAAAGTAGTCGAAGAACAAAATAAAGAAATATTTTTCAAATTTATTTTCAATAAGACAAAAAAATAAAATTCAATAAAAGGGAGAAACAGTTTGGAAACCATTTTGCGTGTAATAAAATAAATGTTGTTTTTTATTATTTTCAGCAAAATAAAACAACTTTAAAATTGTTTGTTTGTCTGTCTGTTTAAAATCAAACATTTTTGCCTCAAACAAATCCTGTTTCCATTAAATTTTTTTTAAATCCGCTAATTTTCTTTTTTTTTAAATCCACGAATTTTCTTTTTTATAAAATCAATGAATTTTTGTTTGTACTTGTTTAACAATGTATACAAAGCGAACATGTCCATAATTAAGATAAAAGATGGGGGCGAAGCGGCCTAAAAGTTTGGTTCTTTAGATATTAATACAAGACAGAAGTGCCGTGAATTTTTTTTTGAATTGATTTAACATTTGATAAAAACAAGTTTGCCAATAATAAAGTAAAGAGCAGGAAAAGTGTACTTTTCAGGAGATTGTTCACCGAGAGATGGGCATCGAGTTTTGGACGAATACAATTTTTGAGAACGAACGATTTTTTTGTGAATGATGGTGTGGTTAAAAAACGGACGATAGACAAACAACTTGGATCGTTCAGAGTAATAAAAAACGACCGTTTTTTAAAAGCAAACAAAAAACAAAAACGAATGATATAAATTGTTAGAAAGAACTTAAAAAGACGATCGTTTTTACTGAACAATATATTTAACTAAACGAACGAAATACACATTTTTTAATCGATTGAAAAAATGAATCATAAACGAACGATGAATGAACTAAATGAAAAAAGCCGAACGTGCCCATCTCTATTTTCACCTTAATATTCAAATTACTGGATTTAAGAACACAATCTTGTTATACTCACAATTTACACACTTTTTGAGCCAAATAGTCAGAATTACTACTGCAAAAAAACGGGTTTCATGTAAATTTTGTGGATTTTATAAATATTGTTTATATACATTGGATTGTACAATACGATAGTACAATTGGTTGTACAGTTGTAGCTATTAGCCGTTGTTTTACAAGATGCCATTTTTCTTTGTAACTTATAAAATTTCTAATTTTGTGGGATAAATATACAAACTACATATATATATACTATTGTAAAAAATAAAAGTATAATCCCTGATAACATTTTCATTTTGTAGATGATGTTGAAAAGTTTGGTCCTGGGTGGGATAGAGATCCTAATCATCTTAATACTCATCTTCAGGTTAGTAAAGGGACTCTTCGCGACAATTGTTCAAGGGAGGACAGGGAAAAATAAAATTGGAAGACATTAAAAAATTAAAAGCGAACGGACGCGAAAAAGAATGTTTGTAAAAACACATCTTTGAAGTATTAATGGTCTGCAACCTTAGATTTCAACCATAAAATGAAAGGATTAGAAAGCTAATTCATGATGGCAACGTAGAATGTGTACACTCTCAGTACAGCTGTATTCTTACGTCACAAGTGTCAACAGTTTTATGTGCCAGACAAAATTATTAAAGTAGTGATAATTTTAGAAAAAAGTGCTTCTCTTACAGTAAAATATGTGCAATTTTGTGTTCTTTATTTTCTGTTAATACACTTTTTTATTTAATCTTGAAAAACATGTCAACTAATGGGAGAACACTTCGCTTTCCTTTTTATATTCGACACTTGTGACGTCGTGTATAATTGGTTAATTTCTCTGTTGCTACCTATTGTGCTTGATAATCTATTTGATGCTGAGTAATAAAGCTGAATACATTGATAATAATGATACTAAATATGTTTTAGATTATGTGGGATGATGTATATGGTGAACCCGAGGGCTTGAAATCCTTAGATTGTACATGGAAATGTTCGAAATCATGCTTCACGGTGAGAGATTAATTTTTTACTTTATGCTACAATCAGTTTAAAGTGGAATTCCCAGTTTAAAGTGGAATTACACAGTTTAAAGTGGAATTACTCAGTTTAAAATGGAATTAGCCAGTTTGAAGCGGAATTACCCAGTTTAAAGTGGAATTACCCAGTTTAAAGTGGAATTAACCAGTTTGAAGTGGAATTACCCAGTTTAAAGTGGAATTACTAAGTTTAAAGTGGAATTAATTAGTTTAAAGTGGGATTAACCAGTTTAAAGTGAAATTAACCAGTTTAAAGTGAAATTAACCAGTTTAAAGTGGAATTACCCAGTTTGATGTGAAATTACCCAGTTTAAAGTGGAATCATCCAGTTTGAAGTAGAATTACCCTGTTTAAAGTGGTATTAACCAGTTTAAGGTGGCATTAACCAGTTTAAAGTAGAATTAATTGTTGTAAAGTGGAATCATCCAGTTTGAAGTAGAATTACCCTGTTTAAAGTGGTATTAACCAGTTTAAGGTGGCATTAACCAGTTTAAAGTAGAATTAATTGTTGTAAAGTGGAATTATCCAGTTTTAAGTGGAAATAACCAGTTTTAAGTGGAATTAACCATTTTAAAGTGGAATTAACCATTGTAAAGTGGATTAAATATCAATAAGAAGCGTAGTTACAGATTTAGTTATTTGACTTAGTTATGATTGATAAATGTATCATTGTCGATTCGGGTTAATTTTAAATACCTGGCTAAATTTCAACCAGCTACAGGGTGTCCCACGAAACATGACAGTATGCAGGACGACTTGAATGTCGTCTTGATTTTTGATATAATATGCTGCGTTTATTTGTCAACCTAATTTTAGAAGTAAATTTCTAGAGATAATAATCACAAAATTTCCCTTGTCCTGCCATTTCCAAAATGTGGTCTGCCTTTTTTGTGCTTTCAATATTGCCCGAGATATGAAGAATTTCGTTCAGATTTCGACAATTTTGCTTTTATTTAACAAAATTGAAATCTGAACCAAACTCTTTATATCTCAGGTAATATTGAAAGCAAAAAAAACGCAGACCACTTTTTGGAAATGCCAGGGCTAGGAGAATTATGTGATAAATGTTTCAAGAATCATACATGTTAAAGTAGATAGAAGACTAAATGTCACAAATACCAAAGACGACTTTCAAGTCGTCTTCCTATTGTCATGTTTCGTGGGACACCCTGTATAAATTAGGCTATACAAACATTACAAATACCTGGCTTAATTTCAAACAGCTAAATCAGGCTATACAAACCTTATAAATACCTGGCTTTATTTCAGCCAGATAAATCAGGCTATACAAGCATTACAAATACTTGGCTTGATTGCAGCCAGATAAATCAGGCTATACAAACATTACAAATACCTGACTTAATTTCAACCAGATAAATCAGGCTTTCCAAACATTACAAATACCTGGCTAAATTTCAACCAGCTAAATCAAGCTATACAAACATTACAAATATAGACTATCTATTCGTGGTAAATATCATTAAAATGTTTGGAGAACGTTTTTAGAGTATAAAGTTGCTGTACGTGAATTTCAAGTGAATTTCTTTTGCATTGAGGTTACTCTGTATAGTCTGTACACAGAGTACAGGCCGCGTTTTAGAGAAATTCAGGTTTCGACATGTGTAAACAGAGAGATCTTTCTACTCGATAAACAGTTAAAGGTTTCAAAAATACCTTTTTGCATTGTGGAACAGTCGAAATTAATCGATTATAGTACCTTAGATTACTGTCCTAGAGAACGTTTTTTGGACATAAAATCAATGAATNACCCTAATATTGTCAGCGTTTTGGAAAGATTAAAAAATGACAGACTAAGGTATATTTATATTTGTGTTTATAACCTGAACAATATCTATATAATAAAGTTTTTCGCTTTTATATACATATATATTTATATGTTAGATATTGCTGGCCATATTTCTTTTGAGGGAACCTGTGGGTACCGTCAAGGATTTAATGCAAGGAAAGTTATTTCAGAAGTGTACGCATGTTTTGCACTGCAGTGTACTGTCACTGGGCGGTAATGTAAACACAAGACGGATATCGAAGCCTGACATGGGATCCATCTTTCACATAAATAATCAATGAAATATTCTGGTCATAAGAAACTATTATGTGAATTATCAAAATTATCAAAATTCAATGCTTTTAACCTCAACCTCCTCGGATACTTAACGAACACTGAGGCATCTATTCTTGTTTACAAATTCCGCCCGGAGAGAACTGGTTTCAATATGTACGCAGAGTATACGCAACTGTAATTAACTTTCCTTGCATTACATTCTTGGGTACCGTTGGGTTAACATTGGCTAAAAAAAAGATTTTTAAAATCAAAATATTCTTTTTTAAATCCTCGGGCAACGTCGGGAAAGTTAGCTAGTTACCATTAAAATCCATTAAATCTTACAGACCCCTAAAACTGTGAAAGGAAGACGACTTTTAAGCATTATAAAGTGCAATGAACCATCATGAAACACAGAAATTTTGCTTTGCAGACAGACCAATTTTACTTAATTGGGTGATTTTCAAGATACCAGGATAAAACTATTTAATCTAATCCAACATAAGTTAAAAATACCATTGGTTCAGCGTCTTCTTTATATAATTTTAATATATAATTACACAGTTTTATCTGAAATTAACTTGTTTAGATTGAAAATACCATTAGTTCAGCGTCTTCTTTATATAATTACACAGTTTTATCTGAAATTAACTTGTTTAGATTGAAAATACCATTGGTTCAGCGTGTTCTTTATATAATTACACAGCTTTATATTTAATTAACTTGTTTAGATTGAAAATACCATTGGTTCAGCGTCTTCTTTATATAATTACACAGTTTTATATTTAATTAACTTGTTTAGATTGAAAATGCTTAAGAAGTAAATATGTATTATCAGACCTTAAGTCTAATTAAATGATACCTGGCGGGGTTTGAAGTGTGTATTGATAAAAACTTGTTTGTGAAAATCCTGTAAACACCGTGCGTATTTTTACGTATAGGCTCAAGGTTAACACTACGCCTTAAAAACTAACTTTGAAATCTTGAAAAGAGGATATAATCAGTTGTAGCCAACCCTTAAGCAGCTCCGGAGTTCCAAACCAACTCTGTACCATCAAAAAGGGGATTTTATTGATACTCTGAAATCAGTTATCCAAATCCCGGATTCTATTTTATAATGAGCTTCTAGCAGCTCCCTACAGAAGCAGCCGCCTTCAACAGTTCTGCACCAGAGAAGCTCAGGGTTCTAGGATTCATCTATACCAGCTGTTTAGCAGCTCTCCTACAGAAGCAGCCTTCTACAGTTCTGCTCCGGACTGCTCTTGGTTCTAGAGATTCATCAATACCAGCAGTTGAGAAGCTCCCTAAATCCCCCTACAGCAACTAACTCCACAGTCATAACGCTCCCATATATTCCATAAAAAATACAAACATATAAATACATTTTAACTATTCATAAAAGCACAAATATCAATTCTTAAAGAAACGTTACATTCGTTTGTGATTTTTACAAAAAAGGAGTTTTAGTTTATGTGAACACCCAAAAGAGTTCCCATATACAGAGATAATTGATTCCAACCATGATCTAACATTCTTTGTTAAAAATACGTACTTTGAACTCTGTTACAGTATGTAATGTATAACATACAAAAAATTTATATTTGCATGATAAAACGTAAATATTTGCAATGCAAACTTTATATTTTAATCATAAACATATTGTTTATTGCTAGTATTGCTTGCAATAATCGATATTAATTTTATATTTCAATCTATACCTAAATAATAAAGCTCTTTGCTGATATATATAATTATATATCTGTTAGCTACAGTTGGTCGCAAGGATGGACCAAATTTGCATAATTTTTTAAGGGAACCCATGGGTATCCCTGGGGTATCGTAGGCAAAAAGATGGAAAAAAAATAATATTTTTAATACCACGGGCAACTTCGGTCGCTTCAGCTGGTGGTAATTTTACTCCCTGGTAAATTAAACATAGTTAAATAGATAGATAGTTAGATAGACAGATATAAGATATTAAAGAAAAGTGGTTCAAATATTGACTACATAGCTAGTTTAACCCTCCTCCCTATTTAGATGGATAGAAAGATAAATAAATATATATATATATAAATATATATATATATATATATATATACACATCTATATATATATATAAATAGATAGATAGATAGATAGATAGATAGAAGATAAAAAAAGAAGTGGTTCAAATTTGTCTAAGTATCTAGTTCAACTTTCCTCCCTATTGTTCAAATCTGATCTGAAAACTTTAGCATGCGGATATTGAGATCAATACTTCACCTTATTTAAAACATCCGAGAAAGTGTCTAAATTCTATCAGAGTTTCGTTTGCATAAATCGAACAGCCAATCCGAAGTTGGGAAATGTTGTCCACATTTAATGGGTGAACACTCATTGGTTGGAAACTGCAGGAAAGGAGAGAAAAGAGCGGATTAAGAAGGAAATTCCAAGTCTCCACATTGCTTATTCAGATTAAGTGATTGGGATTAAGGTTATCTAATACTAAAGTCTGAGCTGAAAACTTTAGAAATGGGGATTAAATCGAGATTAATGGTTGATTTTCTCTTTGAGCTGGGATAGGAGCTAATCCAGAACAGCCAATTAGAGAACCCGGGAAATATTTTATTTTGCGCGCCATTTAATCAGTAAACACTTATATTGGTCGGAAACTGGCATTTAGATTATTTAGACATTTAGACTGGTATTTAGATTAAGACATATGGATTAAGGGTATCTAATTCGAAAGTTTTCTGCTCTGGTTATATTTATTTCTGACGAGAAAGTAAATAACAACAAACAATAAACATGGTAAACAAACAAAGGTCCAGACCAAGAGTAAACAAACCTCAAGATTAAACATACATAAGGAAACATTATTTACAAATAGTATTTTAACCATTAATGTACATTGTACAGTGGGAACCAGAAAATATCAGAATTCTTGTTTTTTTATCAGCCCAATCGGTTCAGCCGTTTGGCCGGCTATACGCAACATATTTATGAATGTCTTGTCTTATTAAAGATAGACAACAAAATTTAATAGTCATATCAACTAAATTAAATAACTTTAGGTAGTCTTCAAAGTATCATCCTTGGTGGGTAACCCTGTTTATAAAAACGTTTCTTATATTTAAAGACAGAAGTTAATACCTAATAGAAACTTAAAATTTAGTAAATTAATTTCTGATATGCACTTGATTAAAACAAACTTGTTTTATATTTTATCTCACGGGCAGCCAAAGTACATTTGAATTTCAGAGCCGGGTCAACCTCTCCGGTCCCAGTTTGTACTGTATCGCCCGGCCATCGGGTAAATAAAGCAGACACTCAAAAGGACTAGCTGGTGCAACAAGGTTGACGCGGTCAGACTTTAGGTTGAATTTACTTTTAACTAAAGGGTCAGAGGCGCTTGATCTGGAATAAAATGCATATTTTGAACACTTTTGCATACTCAAAAGAATTTAAAAAAAAAGTGTCTTGTGAGTTGTGTTTCAGTCACAAAAAGAATTTATTTATTTTGTTTTAATGGATTTGTATATTTGGAAGGTTAGTGCATTAACATGTACTAACTACGCTTTAAATGTTTTATAAGTGCATTTACAGAATGCTTATTAATCAAATAATGAATAAATTATTTGTTTAAAATAGCTTTTTCTATTTTTCCATCACGTTGAATTAATGCAGCTGGTGGCAATTTGCAAGGGTATGAACCTAGATACATTATAATCATGGATGCAAACAGAAAAAAAAATCTAGGGGGGGGGGGCAAATATG